TATAAACGTTCAGTTGCCAAAAATGAGGCACATGCAAAAAGACAAAAGTTGTGGAGTTGTCAACCTGATATGTTACTATTGGTAATAGGACAGGAATCTTATATTCAAAGGAAGACCGCTGCTGGCAAGCAACAGATGCTATGGACGAAATTGAAATTCGAGTACTTATTCATAAAACTATAGTTGTTTGCATAACCTTAGACATGCGACTTTTTCGCTTCCTGCTTTCAAGAGATTACGTTACGGATTATTTAATCATGTTGGTCCACAATTGCGTTGCCGGTTTTTATTCCACGTAATATATCTAAAAGCATTGAAATTAACGGAACCGTTCACTTAACTACTTGGTAGCATTGGTCTTTAGTGAAGACCAAGTAAGAATCTCAACATCGAGTCACCTCTACCAGCTATTCAATGGCCAGTAGCTAACAAGTTGACGACGAGCCATTTTTTTCAAGTCTGTCCCTGTGGACGAGGTTTTCCGTGCATTTTTACGCCTAGCTGTTTGTATAAATGCATGCATCTATGCGTAAAATATGAATATACAATGAGCGGAGCAGCTCCGCCCTTGTGGGAAGCTCCGCCCTTGTGGGAAGCTCCGCCCACTCCTCAAAAATGCTGGGAATTACTTAAAATCTACGAATTCGTCCAAATTCCGACATTTTTGAAATGTGGGCGGAGCTTGCCAGTGAGGGGCGGAGCCTTCCTGACGTAGCGCGGGGTCTAGATCAAAGCTGCTTGAAGCTCCAGAGAGATCATTTGCGACCTCTTCTCTGCGAATGCACAAAAATGTCTCTTGCAGAAGGCAAATGGAGAGGGCGGAGTTTGCCAAAAGAGGGGCGGAGCCAACATGAGAAAATTCTGAGCCTAAATTTGTTGTGTGAACACAAATTGGAACCATTGGGCACATTAGAACTGTTATTCAGGTTGCCGCACACTATTGCGCGACGTCGTCCACAGGGACAGACTGCCTGTTCGCACAGATGAACTCTTCAAATTGCTCTCACGATCCCACTCGCTCACTTGCTTCAGAGTTGTAAGAATGCAAGGTGAGTTGACACATCCCAGCTGCCGGCCAGCTGCGGGCATGAGCTGTGCCGGATGCGTGATCGACGTCGGCAGGGTCGAAGCAGACAGTAGTTTGCGAAAAGACGCGAGTTTATTTCGTAAGTTGTTCATGAAACTTGGAGGACACGTTAGCGAACGTAATGTTACGGAAAGTGCGCAAAGTTGCACAAATCGGGAGCCTACATACATCTGGGTCGATGTACAGCTGATGCAGTCAGTTCTGATGAATGAGTCTTTTTCGCAATAGTACATACATTTTTTACACATCGACAACCACGCAGGTTTCTGATTTCTGCCTTCTGTACTAAGGCCTTTCAAGGAACATTAACATTTTCCAGATAAAATCTTATATATAAATGAATGTCTGTTTGTATGTATGTCTGTCTGTCTGTCTGTCTGTATGTATGTCTGTGGGTACGTATGTTCCGAATAGAAAATTCCATTTCTGAACCGATCGGGACCAAACTTGGCACACATACACTTCGGGCCCCGGCGGGTGTCATAGGCTACTTTCGTATCGATCGATATCGATTTTATCGATTTTTTGCAAAATTTGAGCTACGGGGGGGTGATCAGCATGCTCGATTACACCCCTCTGCCAAATTCCAGCCCCCTAGCTCAAATTTTGCAAAAAATCGATAAAATCGATAAAAGTAATGCACGGTTTCGAAAACTAATATTGTATTCGTAATCGGCATGCTCGATTACACCCCCTGCCAACTTCCAGCCCCGTAGCTCAAATTTTGAAAATCGATAAAATCGACATCGATAAGTGGACTGTGACACCCGCCGGGGCCCGAAGGGTATGTGTGCCAAGTTTGGTCCGGATCGGTTAAGAAATGGAATTTTCTATTCGGAACATACGGCGGAGCCGGGTATGCCAGCTAGTTACTTATACTGCCATCTACACTCTATCTACAGTAGAGTGTAGATGGCAAAAAGGCTGAAAAAAATATAGAGACTATCTCCAGGTCCAGCGCAAAAGCCTCCTGGGAAAAGTTGCTCCAAGAGAGTCGTCATTTTAACGAAATTTAGGCCTTGGTGAATCAACGTTGTTAAGCGGTCACACGCGCAATCATTGCACGATAACCTATGAGTGTCATGCAGATGTCATTGTTACTGAGAATCGCTCAGGATATGTGGTACATTCTATTTCAATTGACATTCACATGATGTGCTGTTTTGTTTGATTTTGTTTTGTTTAAATTTGCAAAAGTTGGGACTTGATCTAGGTGCCTGATTGTGAGTCATATCCGTTGTATACTAGATCGTCCTGACAGTATTTTCGCTTTTTTTAGCAAGTGCCACAGCTTGCGGAATGAAGAAGACCTTATTAGCATTGGATGCAGGTCTCCATACTTTTTTTTCAACGATTATTTTTATATTGCAGTTTACCAAAAATTATGACCCATAGTCTTTACCAAGATCAAATTTTGCTCATTGTGAATTTTTGTACTGATTCTCCGAAAAAGTTCTGGCATAGATTAAATTATTATCAGGGAGGAATTCTGAAGCAAACCTTAAAAAATACAATCTTGTTCTTCTCTCCACAACTCGCCGCAAAATGTTGTGTTAACAGAATTTCTAACAACACCATGGACTTTTAGTAGACCTTATGAGGGCAGACTCATCAACTCTTGATTCTCAATTTTTGATATTTTCTAAAGTTGATTATAATTCAGCATTAATTTTGTAAAAGACTGAGCATTCAGGGATTCGAGATGTCAAACCCTGAATATTCCGGGCATAGTTGGGAAGCTTTCAAAATATAAATTTGTTGAATTAATTCGCAAGATTTTACGAATCAGAAACAAAAAGTTTTCTTGAAAGAGGAGAAAATGTTGCACCGAACAGCACCAGTTGCTTGCAGGTGGAAGCTCTATGAGGTTTGAATGGACCATGTATGGAATTTGATAGCAGTTTTCTGAGAGATTGATTGTTGATCTGCGATGTAAAGATAACTGTTTGAAATAACATGGAAAGCTGCATCGAATATTATATAAATTTTTATTCTGCGGGATGTGGCGCTTGCTCAAAAAGTGAGAATTTTGAGACGACCGAATGCATTTCATTTGTTAATTTTTCTTTACTTTTTTTTATTGTCGTTTAGGACGTCTAATTTCCTCTGCGTGTCTACGTTTAAATTATGCTTTTGAGCGTAACAAAAATGAAACAAATCTATTTCTCCGTTTGCTGGTTGAATCTTGATAAATCATCATAGATTTTTTCATAATGACCGCTATCAAAGATTGCCCGAAGAAGCCGCAAAAATCACACAGAGGGCGGATCGAACTCTTTGTTGGTACGATCGTAATAGCTCATTTATTTTACCAGACGAGCACAGTGTAAAGATGTTTCTTACTTCAGAGAAAAAAGATGATTCTACGAAGCCATCGCATCTGTATTAACGGCATTAATCGTTAACATCCTTAACATAAAGTTCGGAGCCAATGCTCCAAATTTTTCATTACAATATGAACAGGATCTCAGCCCAAAATCTGCAAAGCTTCCACTAGTTCAACAAAAAGTGAACGGAACTTGAAACAAATAAGCATATTTGCAAATTTTTTGAAGTTAGAGTTTGCAAAACAAAAATCTGCCGAAGCACGAGTAGTCGTATAGTGTATTTTGTGTTAGAAGCATCATTCGCATATAACGAGGGCAACAGTAAGATTGATGTTTATGGTTTCGTAGTATCAACTTCGTAAGTGACGAAAGTTTACCCCTGTCAGATGCTGCCGTCATATTTTTCTATCAGGTTTAGCTTTGAAAAAGCAAAGCGTAAAAGATCTTCCCATCCTTGGCAAAAAGTTTGCGCATTTGCACAGCATCTGATTAATGTTGCGCGTGATGATGATGATAATGATGAGCAGCCACATTTCGAATAATGCAATATTTTCCACAGAAACTTTGCAAAATGTTTCTCACAACCTTGAACATTGAAACCATTTTTGTGAAGTTGATGATTTGATAGTAATTTCTACATCGGAAGTATTTTGACTGATCCAAGCTTTTATCCATTTACACGTATGTGCAGACAGTTTATTGTTCAATGGTAGGGCTCTACTCTATGGTTTTGAGCTTATTAGAGATTACCGCTCTTCTTGCATTTGCAGGCATATATGAAAGTTCTAGCAGTTATCAAATGTTCATTGCCTTAAGGGCAGTGTCCAGGCAAAAACTCGATCTTGAGATTTTTTTGATTACCCGGGCCTATTCCCTACGCTGAATCCGAAAATGCACATTGGAGAGCGCGAAAGCGGCGAAAAACGGCTTTAACACGGGAGGAAAATCAGCAGGTGGGCGGGGTCTTCCCCACTGTGAATTCACGTTCCCAGCTTCCAGAGCGATCTTCTCGGTTCCGACTTCAACTCATGCATTCGCACCTGGCCGGTGGAGATGTCAGGGCGCTAGAGGAATTGGGAAGATCACTCCAGAAGCTGGGACTGCGAAATTCACAGTGGGGAAGACCTCGCCCACTTCCGGTTTTCCTCCTGCGTTAGAGCCCTTTTTTGCCGTTTTTGCGCTTTCCAAAGTGGATTTTCGGATTCAACATAGTGAATAGGCTCGGGTAAGCACAAAATCTCAAAATCGACTTTTTGCCAGGAGCCTTTAAGAGCTTTTAGCAGCAATCTGCAAAGTCCTTCCCATTTACATTCAGCAATAGAAATTGGTTGATCTAAGTGATTCGTATTTAGAAAGCTTGCTGCTTATTAACATTCAATTAACAAAGGTCTCCATTTATTTACAGGCACGCGCATATGAAAACATTAACGTCCCTCGAGTATGTAATGCCTTAAGAGCTTATTGGTAGTCAGCATTCGATTAAGGAAAGCCTTTGCTACATACAAGCATGTTGAAACGCATTAACGTCGATTGATTGCAAATAGTAATGCATTGCAAGCTTATCATTGTCTCACTGGGATATAAATATGTGCGCCTGTACAATACGTATTAGTCGCCTGCCTTGCAAGCTTGTTTCTTGGTTGGTTTCATTAGCCGTTCTCATCAGCGAACCCAGTGAGTTTCGGAACCTAGTGCGTAGGTCAAACAAATGCGCTAGTGGATCCAATCCCCAGTGGGCAGCCTATCCATTGGATTCCCGAAGGCTCAAAAAGCCACTGGAACGGGATATGCGAGCGAACCCAGTGGGTAGCAAACTCAAACCCTGTGGATCCGTTGATAAATACGGCAACTTCTTATGTTTTAATTTTGTTTCGTTGACCCTGTTTAGAGAATTAGAGTCAGAAACAAAAAAGTAAAACTTAAACTGAGTTTTAGATGAATCTTTTCAAAAATGTCACATGCATAGTCATAGGCTTTTTATAGCTCAACATAAAATTTCATAGTAAGCCATACCATCCAAATGCCTGTCTCAGTGTATTCTAGCAATTGTCCATATGCATTCAACAGTTTGAAAAGATTGCACCGAAAGTCGAGTTATAAATATATTCTAATTCTCAATCCTCAAGAGCTTGAGGTTGAAAACAGAATAGTTATGATTCGTCAAAATTTATAACAAGAAAAAATATTCTTATTTCATTAGGCGTACAGCAGATACCATATCTAACATAGTCCGTAAACGCAAGCTTTTCGAAAAAAGCCAAGTTGTGCAATTCGAAGTTGGATTTGCTGAATACTCGCAATAAATTTCGAAATTGTTAGCAACTTTTATGAAGCCTACTTGCACTTTAAGAACTGACCCAATAAAAGGTCTTCATAGAATGTTATGACCTCCTATAAAAGTTAAAAGAAAAGTCCCTCCTTTCCTATAAATATGTTGCTATTACTGATAGACAATAGAAAATGCCTCAGAGCTCGAATAACTTCACGATGATTTGAAATCCAGTAAATCTTATTAAGATCATTTTACGGCTGCATGTACCATATACCATTCTTTCAAACCTCGCTGCAGAAAGCGGTTTATAAGTATAACGCTTTTTTGCATGTTCCTAGTTTGATCTTATAGTAATGAAGAGCGAGCGGTGTTGTCCATGCTGTAGATTTCAAAGCCAAGCATCCTTTGAGATACTATAATCGTTTGACAAAAACCAGGAGTAAAAAAAGCTGTATTTTTGTACAAAAATCGTGTCGAACGCACATAACACAATGGCGTAGATGGAAAACAATATTGAGACGATGTATACACAATATAAACGCAAGGTCTCCAAAACTTTTGACACAAGCGTTTACTTACTCTTTATTAGATAAAGCGGCAAAGTTCCATTGTTTATCCTTCTTTGCAATAAACTCCATGCAAGTACCAGATGTGCAGATCTGAGATATGTAACGCTATCACACTTCGAGAAAGGAAGCAAAATTGAGGCAGCAAATATAACACTGAAAGTCAACAATCATTTTGTAGTGTTTACAAATTCTGTAGTACTGCATCTTTGAACAACATGACAAAACTTTGAGTAGCTTTGTGTATATTGTTTCAGCAAACCTATTCGTTTCTGCAAAGAGCATGAAGCTGCTACTTGTGATTGCGGCGGTTTGTTAATCACATACATTTGTAGTTCTCGTTAATTCATATGTCTTACAGTCACTTTTGGCCATCGTTTCAACTGCACCGCAGTGCTGTAAGTGTTTGATGGTAAAGCTTGCAAGTGATAGATAACTAAATGTATTTTAGTCGGTCCTGATTGTGTGGGTGGAAGATGCGGTAAGACTTTGACAACAAAATTTGCAAAACGAACGACTTGTACATACAATGTTTTCAGTTGGTCCTAATTGTTGGAATCGCATGTTCAAAAGATCACCACCGTGTGGTGAGCGTTTGATTGTAAACCATACACGCGAGCGATAACTAAATTTTTTTTAGTCGGCCCTAACTGTAAATGTGAAAAGTGCGGTAATGGTAAGAAGACTATAAAATTTGCAAAACAAATGGTACATGCAATGTTTTCAGTTGGTCCTGATTGTACGTGTCATGACAAGAGCAAAAGGTCACCGCAGTGCTGTAAGTGTTTGATGGTAAAGCTTGCAAGTGATCGATAACTAAATGTATTTTAGTCGGTCCTGATTGTGTGGGTGGAAGATGCGGTAAGAATTTGACAACAAAATTTGCAAAACGAACGACTTGTACATACAATGTTTTCAGTTGGTCCCAATTGTTGGAATCGCATGTTCAAAAGATCACCACCGTGTGGTGAGCGTTTGATTGTAAACCATACACGCGAGCGATAACTAAATTTTTTTTAGTCGGCCCTAACTGTAAATGTGAAAAGTGCGGTAATGGTAAGAAGACTATAAAATTTGCAAAACAAATGGTACATGCAATGTTTTCAGTTGGTCCTGATTGTACGTGTCATGACAAGAGCAAAAGGTCACCGCAGTGCTGTAAGTGTTTGATGGTAAAGCTTGCAAGTGATTGATAACTAAATGTACTTTAGTCGGCCCTGATTGTGTGGGTGGAAGATGCGGTAAGAATTTGACAACAAAATTTGCAAAACGAAAGACTTGTACATACAATGTTTTCAGTTGGTCCTAATTGCTGGAGGCGTGGATTTTAAAGCTGGAAGTGATGTTCGTGTACCAACCAGTCGCTTTGAGGGCGACAATGTTTTACTCATATTGAGCTTGAGTAAAGTGGTTGCAGATTCAAAATCGTTGATTTGATGGCATTCAAAGGCTGAGCCAGACTGCGCAGTCTAACCAAACCCTAGTGAATCACACATACAGTTCGTGATTCCCCAGGGTTTATAAAATACCGTTACTGCGAATATGCGGATTTGGCAGTTTCAATGATAAGAATATCCGTAAAAAGTGCGAATACTTGGATGTACTATTTTGTAGAGTAGGCTGAAGTTCAAAACAAGCAGACGCGACTGTAAATTATGATGCAGATATGTGACATTTCACTTATACATGCCAAAGGGACAAAATTTTTACGCAAAAAAGTAAGTTTTCAAAATAAAAAATGTTGACACCACTCAACGAACATCGACAGTTGAGTTGTATGCAACACACGACCTAATCCAATTTCTCTGTTAAATTTATAATTTATAGCTTTTTCAGCGTGTACTAGGCTGTTGCATAAGTTCTGTCCGATTTTTTTGCCTCATGTTTGAAGCAGTTGTTCTAAGAGAATTTCATCTCTAATTCGATACGGTTGGTATCATTGAAAAGTGCTTTCCTTGCGCTTTCTAAAGCATACCAGAATTCAATAAAATTCTTAGTGTACGGAGATCACAGGCCTAAAATCTCTAAGTGGCCGAGGTACGTTCTATCCCTAGAAATATGTCCTTGCGAGGATATCTCCACAATGCGCCCTTCAAGTCAGGTTCTTTCATTGGCTTCGGAATAAGGGTATGGAATGCTAGTATATGCAGAAGTTCGGTCCCATGAAGAATACGTCTTGCTAGTGAAATTTATCCTCGAACATAAATCTTTGGTATAGATGTTTTACAAGCAATAACTTTCTGCGAATAGAAGTAATCGACAAGCTCAAAGTTGGAGGTGCTAGGGCAAAGCAAGAGCTAACAGGGCCCATCCACCAATTCCTTTTCGGCGCTCACGTCAGTTGTAAAACGTTCGTAGTTCATAAATAGGCATGCACACATGTGCTGAAGCGAGGTCAAAAAGTGGCTAATTTTTTGTTCGGTCAAGAAAATCTCTCGGCAGCGCAAACCCTATGGGCTCTTTTATGTTGCATAATAATCTACGAAAATTTCTCTATCCATCCATTATTAGAAAAGATGCCTATCAATTTTCATAAGGAAGCGTTACCATGTCAAAAAAGACAGATTCGAAGAAAAACGCTGCGAAGTTTTTGCATTCTTGGTTCTTCCTTAACAAAGATTTGCGCAGATCTCAATATGCATTTTTTAGCCAAGGGACTGCTCAACACATAGAAACTAAGACCTTGGAAAAAAGTTGACTCTGAAAGAAGTTATGACATTTTAAACTCAAAAATTCAAATCGGACAGAACTTATGCAACAGCCTAGTACCAACTACGGTTTTTGCCTTGTAAAAATGTAGAAAGTGGTTCTTTGCTGATTAGCAGTCGATTTTTTTACGATTTCGTTGCTTGTGCAAGTCTAAGGATGAGCTGCAACAATTGATTAAGTTGGAACTGGCTGACAATTTCGCTCCGCAATCCAGCCGAATTCTTGAATCTTACATAAAATAAACATGCTCACACAGAGTGTAAAAATAAACGTATTCAAAAATTGATTTTATAATGAAGACAATAACTGCTTTCTAACTTTATCTCTATGACCACATGTCGAGAATCCGTAGCATTTCTGACAGATGTTGAATAAAAAACATTGGTTACCGCTTTTACTTGAAAAATGGCCATGAGTTGCTGAAAAGAGTCCTTCCAAAAAGGATACTAGTTTTTGTGTCGTCCTTCTGGGATGTCAAGTGCTCCAACAACGTTTATAAAATATTGCGAAAAGATACAAGTAAAATCTGATTGCTGCATAATAATATTTTGCGGAAATTGGCATCAGTATTACAGAAAGTTTTTTTTAAACAAATAAATTCTACAAAAGAGTAATCTTCTCAACGGTACTTTTCTTAACGTTCTCAGTTTAAAGTCAGCATGCAGCTACTTCTGCTTTTACTAATTCTCATAGAAGCTTCGAGGCACCGACCACCGAAAATGAAGCCAGTGAGATTTTGATGCCTAAAAGTAGCAGGGCTCTCGACTTATGTTTGCCTAACTCGCGCTGTCAAAGGTGCTTCAGAAAGAGAAAATTGCTTCGAAGATCGCTTGGTATGACGAATTTTCTATGTTGGCTCCTCCTCCTTGCATGGGCGTGAAGTCCGTCCCGGTCATCCGTGCTCACCTATTCAATCATCGTTCCGGAAAAACTCGCCCCGCGGGTTCTGCGGAACGGGGTTTGTAGGATCTTGGCAGATTCTCGACTTGGTATTGCAAATTAGGGGCATGAGAGGGCCCCGGAACGACAGAAACAGGAAGTCGAGAATTTGGGTGGACGATGCTTTCAACTTTTCATAATTATAATTTAATTAAAACTTGTAGATAAAGTGATGTTCTGCCAACTAATAGACATTAGAGCTATATCTTGCTTCTACCTTGTTTGATCCTCTTTCTTCTACTATAACGGCAGATTATGAAGGAGGCAAACGATATATGATGCCGCGTTGCTGAGCAGGAAGCATTGAGCAGGAACTTGATATTCAAACACACGTCCTTCAAAGTTCTGTCGGAAAAGTTTTCCTTGTATTCCGAAACAGGATGTCGATAAATTTGCTTGTTTGAGCAGTAACAAATTGCAAGAATGTTAATTCACTTTCTGACGAGGGCTTTGTGACTGCAAATAAGAGAACAGCTGTGAAAGATGTTCTTGCTACCTCACCCGGATGATATGGACAGTGTGGGCAACGTGGAAAAGAAGTATCGATTGCAAGATCGGATCAACTTAACAGAAATACAAAACAGCAGGGTAAAAGAATTTAATTCTAAAGACACTGCTGGAGGTGTCCAGGTAAAGTCGACTTATTGTAATTAGTTGGTGAAAGATAATGTCCGTCGCTCACAGATTCAAAATGCCAAAATTTTCTCGAAAACCAAACGACATGTTAGGCTGCAACTTCACAGGCATGCTTGAGAAGATTGATGGTATACGACACCTAAGTTGCAGAAAATGAACTTAATGACCAATTAGGAAACTTGTAGGGATTTCCATTCAAAAATCTGATTATTGCTAAAATAAATGATAATATATGATAATTGATAAATGCTCACGAATTCGGGTTCTACTTATGTGGATCAAAGGTGTAAGTATATCTTTGGTATTCATTTTGTAGAGCTTGCTTCATTCTATCGAATGGTGCCTCATACGTGTTAATCTATATCCATATGCCTTGGTAGCATATGTAGGCTGCGGACATCATTTCTGCACCAACCTTTGATCATGGAACATGCAAAAACAGCTGTAAGCGATTAATAGGACTGCCTTTCTTCCAAATTTAAATAGTTACTCTATTTTTAAACAAGATTATGACAAAACAGATTCCAAGCAGATGCAGAACAGTTCGAAAGATCTAACAAGGGAAGGATAGTCGAAGTGGCGTTTACATAGGAAATGTGTACAGCTCTTGCAGAGCATGGAACGCGAATTCCGAATCTGATTTCAGTATCTAGAGCGCTCCTGGGAGGGTATTTATGGAGGTTCTTTGTCGAAATTTCAAAGCTCATACAATAAAATATCGCATGGAGTCATGATTACTGCAAAAACCCTTCGTGCAGTTGATATCTTCCCCTTAATAGATTCAAGCTAGTGGTGACTCCATTCAAGCGCTGTAAAAACCTTAACGCTCGTTTTTACCCTAGCCAAAATCTTGAAGTTTTGCTTCAAAAAATTCTCATAACTTGCATCCTAGAAGCGCTTTGCAGATAACGAAAGCAGATTCAAAATCAGCATTTGCGTTTGACCAGTGCGTGCTCTCTGGCGCATCAATTTAACGCCTCCGCCCTAACCTCACAATTTCGTAGCATTGGCTTATTATTGTGCCGTGTAGCCATTAAAATGCGGTAGAAGTATATTATTAGATTAACAGATAGTTTTTGTTACACACTTTCTTTTCAATCCTTGAAAAAACAGAGGCTCTTTGAGGTCCTCAAATCTGCTTTATACTAGATTGACGGATTACTTTTGTTACTCTTATTTTTGTTCTACTTCGGAAAGTCTTATGTTCAAGCTGTAATGAGGGGGTGCGAAGATCTGCACACCGGTACTGCGGATCTGTCGTCCGCAAAACAATGCGCAAAACACCCACTTTATCGGTGGGAGTACGTTTTATGGACATTTTTGTCAACGTGTAGACTTCTTCTAGGTGATCAGGAAGGGAACGGGCGATGTAGTATTTGGGAAGGGTATGCTCACAATCTTGTCCGCACTCGTTCACATGAGCTACGTGGTGCAACATGTCAGTACACATTCGCATTTTAACACGAAGAACAAATTTCAAAAATTTACAAGAATTATTCTCCGGCTATTCGTACCAAATCCTGCAGGTGCACACAAAATTTTTTTTTGATGAATTTCTGATTTTTTAAATTTTTTTCACACCTCTTTTTTACAAGCTAGCGGCACCAAAGCGCCTGCCATAAAAGGACAGTGCGAAAATATAGTTTTTAGATTTTTTTAGAAGAAATACAATTAGACACAGAGAAAAAAATCCAAGAGTAAATGACAAATTTGAGTGTGCTCATATAGTGGTCGTAAGAAAGTCAGTCATACTGTTCTGACGTCCTGTTGTGTCCTGAGCAGATTTGAAGATTTAGAGAGCTTCCGGAATTTTTCGAAATTCTACAAAAAATTGTAACAGAAATTGACCGCCAACCTGATATGGAAAGCGCGAAGTCCCTTCGCATGATTGATTCCACAAATGCAAAACTAGCATGCACATTTATTGAACTCAGTTTTCTTATCTTTCTCTTGTGTTTTTGTGGAATGAAACTTGAGAGAGGAGAACTAAACTAAAACTAAAAAATTTGATAGTTTCGATAGTTTCAGAAGAAAAACAATATCAAAAAATGCAACAGTCTCCAAAGATTCTTTTT